CCCCCCCGGAGTTTGAAGCCGGTTGAAAAAGTTGATCAACCAAACGAACCGAAAACAGGTTTTCTCCAACCAGAAAAAGTTGATCCCAATAGAACACGACCTCAATCACATATCTTTCTAGCGCAAGTTCTCTTTATAGGGCGTACTTATGTTTTATTGTCACTCGTGCCTTGCGCAGGTGTGGGCTGTCCCAGAAGAACAAACTGTCGTATGAGAGATTTCTCAGCGCGTTCCAGGACAACAGACATGCTGGTTATGGTCGTGTTACTCTGGACACGCCAGGCAAAGTCGTCACGCCTGTGGTGTTTGAGAGACACGAGTCCCTGTCACCAGATGCCGCAATCAACAGACTGAGAAACAAGATCGGCGAAAATCCTGAGACTATCCAAAGGGTAAGTAATAGGCTATTTCTGTGCCTCTGTTTTAAAACGAGTCCTCTTGGAAAAACCTTTTATGTGAAAATGATTTTGATTTGCATGAAGTAGGAACACATTTTCTTATGAATGCTTTCGCATGAAGACTCCTTTTGACACAGAAGCAAAAGGCAACTCGGAAATGGCTCATTGTACCGTTTGTAATGCTATTTCGTGTTAAGTACATTGCCAACCTTTTCGTGTCCTTACATTCACAAAATTTCGTTGATCTCTAGGCCTTTGCGGCGTTTGACCGAGAAGGAGTGGGACTGATCAGCAAAGACGACTTACATCAAATAATTAATGCGTTTTGCTTTGTGATGTCCGAAAAACAATTTCAGGTAACTGTCTCGTTTACTTAGGTAACATTACAGAACTATAGATTAGAACAAAGCCGTTCTTGTCGTAGTGCAGGCTACAGAGTATCAGTGCCTCTTACACCAAGTACATCATTCAGATTGGAATAAATGAGCTCAGCACAGCATTTTGCGTTATTTTGGCCACATACAAAATTACCTTTAAATTGAAGGAAACCTGAAAATAGTAGTTTACTAAGATATAAAAACATTAAAGAGATAATAATAAACCATGAGGGAACAAGGATGGAGAAGATTAACACGGATTGCAAACGACGAAATTGAAAAACTCACGCCAAACTTTTCAAGATGTGCAAACCGTGACGAAGCTCTTTTAAGGCAATTAACGCATGCAATTTGCATTTAGGCAAAATTTGATAAAAATTTTCAGAGATCGTTGCAAAACAAGCAAGTGGAATCCTTAAGTAACACATTTTCAGTTTACCCTTAAATTAGTGTCTGTTTTCGCCTTGCAGTCCGATTAAAATTCCCATTTTTAGCCGGTTTATTGAAGGTCGTGTTAATTTGTTGAATCTACTGCTGACAGGCTCTTGTTAGTTCAATTAAAGCCTTTAATCCTACTGTATTCATGTAGTTGTCACGTTTACTTACGAACCGGACTGTTGATTGTTGGACGTATAGTAGAATAAATCCTTTGTTTACTTAAGAAGCAGACTGTTGATTGCTTTAAGGATTGTATTATTAATCTGTTGTTCCCTTTACAGGCGCTGCTAAAGAAAGTCAATGTTGGTGAAGGAGGCTTGATTTCCTATGATGATTTTCTGAATAGCTTTCAAAAATCTGACGCCGAGGTGAGAATAACAGTGACTGCTTTTACTATGAATTTTCAATTTCAGAGTATAGTGACAACGAAATAATGAAAAAACTGGTTTTCATAGATTTTTGTTTACTTCCATTCTGGTAACGCTTTGAAACATTTTAGAAAGTTAGACTAAGTGATAATTCCCTATTCGCTGGAAGATGTTAAAATCCTTACTTCTATGACTTTGTTTCTCTGAACGGAGTAGGTTCAAAGTCGTAAGAGCAACAATTGGACTGCCAAGCACGCTAACTTTAATTTCACATCACAATAGATCTGCTCCCAGTAGCTTCGTATTTCCGTGGTATAGTATTACTATGGATATGCGATTTTTGTGTTTACCAATCCAGCGGGACCTCGGGTGTTATATATATCTTATTTAGTATATACATACTGAGATTTACACACTGAAAAGGCGCGAAATAAATTCTCATTCACAAGCCAGTCTAAGTTTTACCAAGCGCGTAGGCCGTACTGGGAAAACATCGGCCCGAGGTCTTGATAATACGGACCGAGCGCCGCGAGGTCTGTACAAAAAAGACCGAAGGCCGATATCCTCCCGGTACGGTCCGATGCAAGTTTGGTAAATAAGATATTTATCGCAGAACTGAAAATGTTCAGAAAAATGCAACGATCAGGGACTTAAAAAACAACGCAAATTTCAAACACGCAATTCTCACTGGGAGCCGAGTAGGCGTGCACTCACGTCTAGTCCGATCACGGATGTTAAACAAAATATAAGGGAAAGAGAGGTAGAGGAAAAGGAGCACTTTATTTGTAAGCAAATTCTTTCAGAAACGTAAGCCATCTAACTACCAGAAAGGTTGTGAGTGGTCGTGCGGGATCGTTCCGGTCCAATAGTTAGAGAATATCGGACCGGCAAAGGAGCAACCTGATTGGTTGATTTTAACTATTGGCCCTCTGAACTAACTTAGTCGTGTAATAAAATGCAATCCTGTATGTTCTGTTCTATTCCCAGGCCAGTCGCAGGTGGCTGGAGAATTTATATCCCTCATCTGACAAACGCCAAAAAACCGCTGACCACGTCACGAGACGACCACGTGGAATGAGTGAAGCCGAGGTTGAAAAGAGAGTCCGAGAAGTTGTAGTGGCCAGATTTTACAGTCTTGCTAAGGTGAATCTTTATTTGAGAAAAAGAAACACGTACCGTGTCTATCGGGTTTTAGTACAAATCTACTAGTGTTCTATAACGAATGGCTTTCTCTGATTGGCTAAGCTACTCACTATCTATTCTACTGTAGATGGTGAGTAGCCGAACAGTGTGTGGTTGTGAACAAAATGACGGCCACTTCTTTGTGTTTTCGAGGTGTCTGTGAAGAAGATTCAGATAGAGTTGTTAACGACAAGTAGAAAATTAATATACTAAAACAATTAGATCATTCGCTCTCAATTTCTGTGCGTAATAGTTGACTCGGGCTGCGCCCTCGTCAACCATCACGCAATAGAAATCTCGAGCTCATAATCTATTGTTCAGTAGAAACACGATTTTAAACCAGTCAGCTCGCGTATTTTCTTTGGGCTATTTCCTAAAACACCTTGAAGTATAAATGTTTATTCGTTATTTGGAGGCTGGTGTCTTCATTGGGCCATTTCGTCTAAAGAATGTAACCCCAACTAGGTGATTTTCTTTCAGATCTTTTAAATTTCGTATTATGCGTTTTCGCTGCGATTTTTTGAAAACATTTCTTTTACAACTCGTTAGGCGTTCACAGATGGGGACACACATCACAGCGGTACAGTCAGCGCCAGCTCTCTCCATGAAATCCTTAATGAGCATGCGTTCCGTATGACCAGCGATCAGTTTTACTATATTTGGAATAAACTTCCAAAGAACCCGGATGGAACCGTAGATTACAAGGATTTCCTTAAGATATTTTCCACACGGCCTGATGTGTCGCGTGCAGCATCTGCAACATCGCCACAGTCACGTGATAGAAAGGTAAGGAAGTAGATCAGGGAAGATCTCTTGCCAGAGCTCGTGTAATCCCCATAACCTGGTTTTCACTAGCGCGTAAGTATCAACAGACGCAGTAAGTTGCTGTTGAGTAGCGCCTTTTGCTAGACAAATTTCCTGTGGATTGGAAGTTACGTTAAAAAGCAACATCAGATTTTTATGAGAAAGCATAAGGACAATGTCGTTAAAAGGCGCTGCCGGGTACTGTGGCTCAGGTTTACACCTCATGGAGGTCACATGTTTTGTTTTTAAGTTAACCGCTGACCAGGTACTGGTTTTCGACTGATCGCAGGCTCAAGCCAGGTTAATTTCTTTTAATCAGGAGCTCCGCTTTTAAGCTTGGTTAAATCTTTATATCCAAGTGGAAGGTAATCTTGTGTCGGCTTTATTCACATGAATATTCTCTGTTTATATTAGAGTTCAACTTAGCCTGCATAAATGTTGTTATTTAGTCATTTATGTTATAGGGCAGTGTAGTCTAAGTGCGACATTCTGCAAAAAGATCATTTAGGAGTCAGCTAAGGAAATCGACTGGTGGAAGGGAGGGGTTAGAGGGAGGGAGAAGAACTGATCAAATCAAGTAGTATATTGTTTTCCCCAAAAGAGGATGACTTCAAACGCAGCTATGCATTTTTGCTTTTATGACGTTGGTGTTTCTGTTTCAGGCGTCGTATGAGCCCGCAGTGTCCCCTGTACGTTCGCCTGTCAGGATTCCATCACCTGAGACCGTGACTCCGCCCCCCTCAGCCAGTGACGTAGAGAGGAATATAAAGGACGCGGTAAGTACGTGGGAAACTTTTGTAGGAACGTGTGGCTGGCAATTGATGTATGTGTTGCCTTTTGGAATTAACCAATAACCTTTTTGGTTGTATGACATGGCAGATCTCTGCTGGAAGAAACTGTAGAGCGTTGTTAGTCACGTGACCAGCACACATGCAAATATTTGGAACAAAACAAAGTGTTTACATAAGAAAAGAGTTCAGCTCCCACAGGATTGGTTTGGGACAACAACATGGCCGCCGTGACGTCATGTGAAAAAACTCTACAGCGATCATTTGTTTGACACGTACTTTTTGCACATGCTCTCGACCAATGATATGCATTCAGTTTTTTGTGTTTTTGTCGTTATTTCACTGTAGGGGTTATTTGCTCGATAAAACATCTCGGTCGTACTTAATTGCTCAGATTTTTATCCAATCTTACTTTTAGATTTGTCGTCGCTGGCAGCACATTCAGAAATCCTTTAGAAACATTGACAATGGGAACAAAGGAACGGTCAGCTTTGAGCAACTCAAAGGTGTGTTTGAAGTTTCAGATGAAGTCCATACCATAGCCAACCACGAAACAACTTACATGTGTGACTGTGTTGCTACAATTTAGACAATTTAATGTTAAATATTGCAAACCTAGTATCGATTTACCTCCGTAAAAGCTTAAAATCTTGAAACCCTTTTCTTCGGGACGTAGTTTTGTGTAAATCTTGTGGCACGAAATTGCGTTGCTATCTTTAAAGAAGTGTTTCCTTTTTTTAAATAAAGCTGATGTGCACAGGTTTACTACTTAGATCTACTTAGACAGCAAAACACAACCGCGTTGACCACATCTTCACATTACATCATGCTATTGGCAGTTCAGTTGATTTCATTCATATAAATTACGTTCCAGTGAAATAAATATTAATGTCTGTCTTTTTAAAGATGTTTTATGGAAGCATGATATTCATCTTGGTCCAAGCGAGTTGTTATCTTTGTGGAAGAAACACAGCAATGAAGAAAGAGGAGGGTAAGATGTAAAGTAATATATTAGATACGGGAGGTTGTCTTATCTCATTTCTAAACACCGTAAGGCAACACAGAAAAGCAACACGCAGCTGAGTATTTTCCTACAAAATTTGAGGTGTTTGGAAAGGTGAAATGTGAAAACTCTCTCCACTGTTTAAATTCTGTTCTTATTTGGAACTCAAGCTGAGGAATCAGACTTGCTTTTAGTTTCAGACTTGATACATTATTGATGAGATCGAGCGCAGTGTAAAATAGTTCAAGAAATAAATTTTTCTGTCAAGGTTCAGTGGCTCAGCTTCATTGAACTGTGCTCTTACATTAACGGAAGGAAGACCTGAAAATCCCCTTGAGATTCCCGTGAAATACAGAGCTTTATTTCTTTCATTCTTTTATTTATGTATCGAATTAACTGTGCATTCCTTTTCTATTTTCAGGATCGTGTACAAAGATTTTATGCGACATTTTGTGTTAAATCTGAAGTCTCAAGATAGCAGTTCTCTCGCCAGGCCCAAACTGCAGCCGACCAGAGTGCCAGTAAGTTGTGGTGACTGAGTGATGTTGAAAAATCTTTTATGTTAAGACGCCATCGAAACCATCAAACGTGTGATAAGTTGGGAGGTTGCTAAGCACGAAAGAAGCGTAAGAGTCGCACGAGGCGATAGCCGAGTGCGACTCTAGCTTCTTGAGTGCTTAGCAAACCTCCCAAGTGC